TGCTTAAACAAATGCTAGTGTGACATTATCATATTAGCAAAATGCTTAAGAAATCTAGACATTTAAAATAAGACAAACATTTATGAAATACTGGCTATGTTTGTACATGTGTGTGTGTGTGTGTGTGTGTGTGTGTGTGTGTGTGTGTGTGTGTGTGTGTGTGTGTGTGTGTGTGTGTGTGTGTGTGTGTGTGTGTGTGTGTGTGTGTGTGTGTGTGTGTGTGTGTACACGCACATGTGCACGAGTGAGCACTCAAAGTTGAAGTCTAAATCACTCCGTCTTGTTATTGTTGTTGAAATTTATGTTGCAGTCAACAGGTTCAAATTTCTTTTGCCTACACTAACTGAAATATCCCTTAATTCTTTCCAGATAACAGAAACATAACAGTCATATACACAGACCTCCACCCAACCACTCTGTCTACAAACTAGTTGTAACATCAGCAAGTCCAGCAGCAACAGTGAAATAGTTGAATTCTGATGTCAAGCCAGCAAAACCATCAACTTGCACTTCCCAATCATTAAAATACATTTAAATAGATAAATAAATAGATAGATAAATAAATAAATAAATAAATAAATAAACATATATATAAACATATATAAACATATATATATATATATATATATATATATATATATATATATATATATATATATATATATATATATATATATATATATATATATGTTTATTTGTGTGTGATTGCGTGTGTGTGTGTATTTGTGCATATGTGTATATGTATGTGTATGTGTATGTGTATGTGTATGTGTATATGTTTATGTATATGTATATGTATATATATGTGTATATGTATATGTATGTATGTGTGTATATATATGCATGTATATATACATTATATATATATATATATATATATATATATATATATATATATATATATATATATATATGTGTGTGTGTGTGTGTGTGTGTGTGTGTGTGTGTGTGTGTGTGTGTGTGTGTGTGTGTGTGTGTGTGTGTGTGTGTATATATTTAAATATATATATATATATATATATATATATATATATATATATATATATATATATATATATATATATATATATATATATATATATATATATGTATGTATTTACTATAAACTGAGATTTTCCTATATGCACGATATACTGGACACAGAGGCTACAGACATGAATAATCTAGCCAAGCATGAAATGTCTTATATTTGGAAGAAAGCTTTGAGAATAAATAATGAAAAAAAAAACAAAAAAACACTGAAGTAATAACTATTACCAATAACAAAAATGCAACAATTTAAAAATATAAAATTTGTATATGAAATTTCAGTGTTTCTTTTAAAAAATTTGTCCCTTACTGCAAATCTCCAGGTAACTGATGTACAGCACCTGGTGGAGAGATTTCAGGACTGTCTTTCCAATCTGAGGTCATGGTCAACTTTCAAGAACTCCTAAACATTTTTTTTTCTTCATTGTTCTTTGCTCTGAATGTTTATTCCTTGTTCAATGGTCTGACTATAAATAATGTACTTCATATAAAAAAATGCTATGTATTCACACCATAGACACTCAAAATTTCAATGCTGCACAGTTTTTGGATGAACAGATAGCTTCCTACACAAAATTTCCCTAATGGTTTAATATACAATTCTACATATCAAATTCTATATTCATTCAAGCTCTTCAACTAGGAGAGCATATGAACCTCTTTTTTCTATAAGTAAAAACAAAGTTTTCTTGAAAAATACAAATCATGCAGGAACACAAAAATCTCTATGCCCTCAAATCCACAGAGGTAGGTAGGAGAGGGAGGGATGGAAGGATGGAGGGATGGAGGGAGGGAGGGAGGGAGGGAGGGAGGGAGGGAGGGA